TGTTATATTTAAATAAAAATAATAAAATGTGGGGATTAGAAAATAAAGTATTGTCTTTGTTTGTTTTATTAACCTGAAATTGTACTGCACAATAAAAATAAAAAGGGAAAAGATCTGTTGTACTACAGGCTGTGGTTTTGTGCTATATAGTCCCAAAACAAAACAAAAATCTCTTGACCTTTTCTAAGTTTTTTTAAATATTTTGTATGTGTGAGTCCTCTATGTCCACAATAATAACAACCAAATGCTTCAGATTCTTCCTGTAAGTATTCAAATCCACCTGGTTTCATGCAGTGGAATAAAACAATGAATTTAGAGGAAGCATATTTGATGAAAGAATGAAGGGGTTTAGGAAGGAAAGCATGTACTCACGTTTTTAAAGTAAATTTTAGATATAGAAAACCAGTTACATTTTATATAAGACTTCATTCAAAACATTTCAGGCTATAAAGTTCACTGAAGGTTAGTAAGCTTTAGAATTGTATGAGCACAACTTCGTAATTCATGTCCCTGCAGAAACTGATTGTCTCTATTCACACAAATAGTTGTAACTGTTTCAAGGAGTGGTCTTGAAACTAATGCATGAAGACAGCCCTTCTTTTGAAGTATCAAGTGTCATTATTTACTCCATTAAGTTAGATTGTGGGGCAGAATTCATCCTCCTCATTTCCTGTTAAATTGGAGAAGGAAAAGTACAACGCATAACAAATGCTTTCTGCTGCAGCCAGTCAATGTGTGATTACTGATGGTATTTTTCGGAAAAAATCCTTGACCAAAACAATTTCAATGCAACTTCAAGTAAGAAACCGATGCAAAGAAAAGTTATTTCCCATGGCATGGTAAGCAAGAAATAGAATATGGAAAATTAATTGGCCTTGGACCATTGGATTTGGACTTGCATTAGAAATACTCCTGAACTTTCACTTGCCTGTGTCTTCAAAAATGTACATCACACTTATACCACTATGTCCAGGGTATTTCTTGTTCATTTATCATCATTTCCTATGATTTCTTCCGACTTTTACATGTAAGAGCAAGATTCATAAATGGTTCACAGAGGGAACTTGCACTACTGATATCTGCAGTACACTGTTGCTATTGCCACAAACTTAAGACTCTCATCTCTGTTTCCATGTAGAATATGACACAGAAATCTGGTGACATTGTAGTGTTTTGAAAACCATTCACTCCCCCGAAACTATACATATACTTACTAGTAAACATGCAAATTTGATTTGGGTCAGAAGTTAAATATGCATCGTTAGGATAGCTTGGCAATTAAAACAACCACTATGCATAAGATAAGTTGCAAATGAAAATATATTTTTCCTTTTCATTCCTTTTCCATGTTTTACTCAAGGAAAGTGAAAGAGAAGACAATGATATCATATTATTGTTGTTTACAATCTTCATTGCTTTTTTAATTGGAAGCAAATGCATGACCTATCCTGGTCTGTGACTGAATCTTATTTCAGTGATGAAATAGGATAGAGATATCGGCAATCTTGTAAAAGAGCGATAAGTCTCTTTCTCTTCCTTATGGTCAGCCAATTCAACTTACTGAGTGCTACTGATATAGCGCACAGTTTCGCCCACTTAAATATAAATTAAGCTAAAAGACTCCAGCTTTGGAAGAAGAGATATGGCGCCGCTTATCATGTTAAATGAGTACTGTATCCTTTGCCTGACATAGACGGATAAGATTTAATCCATTAATTTATTTAACTGATTGCTTCTTAAATGCTCTGCAGTGAACGATATAGTGTGAGAGGAAAGTCTTGCTGATAACCATAATTATTACATTTCTATGGTAATTGGGAGATGCAGTGGGAAGGTACAGTGTCAGAAGGGTTAAAGTGCTTCTATACAAAATCCTGCAACAAGGTTCAGGCTATATTCATACTGAAAGCCAACATCAAGTTGTAAATGAATGCCTGGGCCTCCAGACTGAGGAAGTCAGTTATCCAGAAGCTGTGTTTGGTCCTTTGCTCCCCTGATTGCTCTAGTGTCTTAACCATTCTTTACATTAAAGTCACAACAATCTTGAATCTGATTACATGTACAGATGTAGAACGGAGAGAAAATTATATTCGCAGTC